CCCAGTCGGGGATGCACCCCTCGAAACCCGAAGGGAGCGACCCATGTCCCCATCCAGGGGTGGTAAATCGGTCAGTGGGGCCCAGGCCGCGCCGCTGGGGATGGGAAATCGGTGAAACGAAACTGACTCTTCTTGGCGCCGTGGTGCAACGCTGTCGTCGTCATCGGGCGACCCTCCGCCGCACCCCCGCGACCGCGGGGCAAAACGGGCGACGTGCCGCGGAACGCGCGCCCGCCCCCGCCGGCGCGGCCGGCTCTCCGGCGTGCCGCGCCGGCGACGGCGCGCGGAAGGCCAGCGGGGCGGAGGGGGGCGCCCGTGGAGGCAGGACGTCTTCAGAGCACGCTCCCAGAGAGTGCGGAGCCACCCTGAGCCTGCCCAGACGAGCGCGCTCCACTACTCGCCAAAAAGGCTACTCGCAAATGGCCTGGATCCGCTGGGGGGGGGATCTGCGAGGAATTACGCCGAATCAGACACGTGTGTGTTTCGGGCGTTTGCGAGCGGGCCCTTTGCGAGTGGTGGAACGCGCTCGGTGACTGCCATCGCTCGGACGTCCGTTCCCTGTGCACTCGTCGGCTTCGTGCGTGTATTTTGTTAGGGGGCAAACAAACCTACCCCGCTTTTGACCACCCTCGCTTCCAAGAGATACCAAGCGATGCCACACTACGGCCTGCACTGGTCAGGCCGCTCGACGAGGAGGCGCGTGGTATGACTTGGTTTCGCCTGGAAGCGAAAGCGGGGTAGGAAACTCACGCTCTGATTTGCTGGCGCAAAGTGAACAACAAATGCTCTTCGATGGTCCTCGTCGAGAAAAAACGTGCGCACGTCCGAGCGACGCCCGGACCCGAGCGGCCGTCCCTGCAGCGTGACCACGGCGGGCCAGTGTGCGCGTCTCCGGCGGTCGGCCTGCGAGGGTGCGCGGGCTTCGGGGGGGTGGCGAGTCGCACTCGGTGCAGCGCGTCCAAGAACAAAATCATCCCAGTGCGACCCTGCCTAGGAGTTGGAGCCACTAGGAAAGCAGCACTAGTAGCAACAGTAAAGCTAAGCCAAAGCCAAGCTAAAGCTAAGGTAAAGCTAAGCTGAAGCTAGGCTAACGCTAAACTGAAGCTAAGCTAACGCTAAGCTGAAGCTAAGCTAAAGCTAAAGCTAAAGCTAAAGCTAAAGCTCCCAGGGGACTGGGGGAACCGCGGGGCGGATGCCGGGGGAACCGCCCGGGGCGGGTTACACTGCCCGGCCCGTTAAGCACATAGAGTAAGAACCCTTCTAGGCAGAGCCTAGGTAGGGAAAAACAGACAGACATAACCTTGTGGAGGTCCACTCGTGCTTTGTGACTGTGTCTTGCGCTCGAGGCCCCCCCACCCCCTCCTGGCGCGCGGAGCACGCCGAGGGCGGTGCCGAAGGTGCCGCCACGGAGCTCCGGCGCACATCAAACAAACCGCGCGGAGCTCCGCAAATTTGCGTTCAAGCCGTTTGTCCTTCTTCGAGCGCCAGCTCTTGGGGGACCGCGCCCTCGATGTGGACGCCCTCGATCAAACTCACCATCATGATGATGATGCTCGTGCCACTAGAAACGACTGGATCTGTGCCCACCGGAATGCCACACCAGCGTGGCCTGACACCCATCATCATGATGATGGCCCTGGGACGATACGCAACGGGATGCACATGCGGAGGGCCTGCGCTCCAGGTGTAAGCATCCACGTGCCAAACCAGCGTGCCATGCCACTCATCATCATCAAAACTGTGGCCGTGCAACTATACACGACTGGATGCTCATGCAGAGGGCGAGCGTTCCATGTGTACCCGCCGCTCTGCCACCACACCAGCGTGCCACGACACCCATGATCACGATGATGCTCCTGCTGCGATGACACACTCAAAGCATGCAATAGCTTGATCTGGGGCGCAAGCAATTCGAGTAGGAGATCGACTGCAGAATTGATGTACCCCGAAATTGGTTTTGCCCGTCGGATCTACGAACAGTATGTAGAATGCTCCGCAGATCTCGGAGCACCCTACGCATTCTCGTAGACTCGACATCTTCAATCTGATGTTGTGTCGTTACCGTGGCTTGCATCTGCAACGGGCCCAGCTCCACTCGACTCCCACCCGTCCTCATCCTGCCATGCGAGCAGGGGGATGGAGCGCCGAGGACCAGGTTCAGGAGGGAGTGGGTGGGCCCTCCTCCCTCTTCACGGCTGTGTGTTTCTAGTATGGCTATGGGATCCTGGAGGCGCTGTTTGGAATGGGTGAATCACAACCCCCTCTAGACGGAGGTGGCCTAGCAGGTTTCCTCTTGCATCTTCCCCTTCTTCCCCTTCGGGGAGGAGTTTACCCCTCCCCCTCCCCCTCCTCCCCTGGGTTTGGACTGGGGGGGGGGCGGGGGGCGCGGTTCGTTAGAGCAAGAGCCCAGGATGCCCCAGGAGGCCCCCAAGAGGTCCCCAAGAGACTCCCAGTAGACCCTCAAGAGGCCCGAGGAGGCTCCCCCGAGGCACCCAAGACGCTCCAAGAGGCCCCTGGGACCGCCAAGAGGCCCCCAAGGCGCCCATGAGGACTCCAAGAAGCTCTCAAGCGACATCTGAAGAGACTCCGAGATGCATGCAAGAGGCCCCTGGCTATTGTGCTCGCCCTCCTCCTCCTCCTCCGCATATTCCTCCTCCTCCCCCCTCCCTTCTCCCCCTCTCTCCTCTCCCGATTCCACCGCCATCCTCCCCCTCCTTGCGTATGACGGCGTCTCCAGCCCTTTATTCAAAACGCGTGCTCCTTCACATCCCTGATCAGGGCAACTCGCCTGGGTATCGTTTCTGGATGGGCTGGTGGGACACGGCGACACGCTGGAAGGATTGATCCGCGGCATGACCGTGCTCCGCAGGCTTTTCGAATTTCACCACCGTGCGCGGTCGTCGTTATACCTTGAGGCCGCGTCGCTCATGGAGCTCAGGGGCTGCGTTCAACATATGGCATTGCTGCGCGATTGCCGCATTCCCTGAAATCACCCCCTCCTTCCTCAGTCGTGCATCCTCCGTCCTCTTCTCCCTTCTCCCTCCTCCTCCTCCTCCTCCTCAGCTTGCCTCCTTGTGAAAGTCACAAGGCTTTCGAAATCCTCTGCGGGCCCACAAGAAATCTCCCCTGCGCGATCGTTTGGCTCTCTTCAGCTTGAGCGGACCGAGGCTCCACCTATCCCACAGAATACCAAGAACCAAGGTTTGCGGCCAGGTAAGGTGTGTATGTGTGAATAGAGTTGCTGGTTGTTCTGCTGGGGCAGACGCAACCACCGGCGCCGTCCTCCCATGATTCACTCGAGCGTGCCCTGGACGTCTGTGCTGGCCTCCCGGGCGTCTCAGAGATTCTGAGCTGTCAAGAGTGCGTCCCCCCCATCATGCTCGCGCTGGCCTTCCCACCAGATGGCGGAATGGCGGACCGACACTTGACCCCTTGACACCCGCCTTGTTCGGATGCGCGCTGCTGGGCACGATCCCAGGGCGAGGCCCGGTGCCCCCCAACCCATCTCGGCACACCCCTCTCACGCTCCGCGGCCCCACAGGGAGCTCCGCCGAAGGCGACGCCCACAACTGCGCACCTGGCGCCTCGAACCCGTTCGTCCCCCTGCAGGCCCCGACGCTGCCCCTGAGGAGTCGGGCGGGTGGTGCGGGGTGCGACCAGAGTGGGGGGGGGAGGAAAGGGCCCCAAGGGGGCGCCTCGGGGCCCCTCTTGGGCCCCTGCTGGCTCCCAGAGGCGCCCTTTGAGGGGCCCCTCAAGGCCCTTCTCTTTCCCCTCGGACGGGGCTAGAACAAGGACAAACCCGTTCCGGAGCGTTCCGGAACGCTCTCAGGGCGTTCCAGAACGCTCTGAGGCCGCGGCGCCATAGACATCCTCCAAAGCAGCCGAACCTCAGAGATTCTCGATGTATCCTCATGCGACGTCCTGTTTTTTTCAATACGCGGTCCCCTAAGTCTCGACCCTTTCCGTGGGAACGGATCTTCATCCCGAGTTGTTGTTGGACGGTCCTGGGGCCCCGTGAGGGCCCCCCAGGGCTGAAAACGGTGGAAAAACTCCCGTCCTGATTGTCACAACGCGGGCACGTCTGGGAATTTATCCTCGTCCTGGCTTCGTCTTACCCCAACTGTTAGGACCCCCCCTTTGAGCGCATTTTTTTATTCGCGGCCATAACGGGCGTTATGGGGGGGAGGCGTTATGGGGGGGAGGCATAACGTAGCGCACCCACCCCCCCCAGACAGTGGTGCCGGACGCATTGCGGCAGTGCTGGGGACGCACGCAGGGGTGGAGCGTCGCGATTTGGGGGAGGGAAGGGAGGGGGCAGAACGCGCGTTGTGGCCCAGAGGGCAAAAAAGCACTCTCTCGGTCCCCCCCCCACGCAGAGGGCCCCCAGAGGCTGAAAACGGCGACGACCCTCCCGTCCTGATTTTTGTTCACGACGTGAGTATGTTTGGGAATTCATCTTCGTCCTGGCTTTCGGTCGGGCGTGTCCCCCTACACGCGCATGTTGGACGAAAAACAACACATAGAGAGAGCATACTCAAAACAGATTCCAAAATAGTCAAACATCGTCCCCAAACTATTTCTTGACTGTCTTTAAATATTCCTCCCGTAGAGGGACATGCCCGACTTAGTCCTGGCTTCGTACCCCCCCATCTAGGTCCCCCTCCCCCACCCACCGAGGTGCCCCCACCCGTACCGCCCGCCCGAGAGGATGATGGGCCTGCTTCCCACAATCACCACCACCATAAGTTGGAGCGGGGGAAAGGAGGTGGAGGACGAGGAGGAGGAAGAGGAGGAGGAGGAGGAGGAGGAGGAGGAGGATGAGGATGAGGATGAGGATGATGATGATGATGATGATGATGATGATGATGATGAGGAGGAGGAGGAGGAGGAGGAGGAGGAGGAGGAGGAGGAGGAGGAGGAGGAGGAGGAGAGGGAGGACCCCCCCCAAAACTTCTGGTGGTGGTGGTGGAAACCAGGCCCCTCAGAGGAGGCCGCCCCGCCTGCCACCCTCGGCAGCTGCCTCTCCCGCGAGGCGGGCGGGCCGCCCCCGCCGGCGGCCGCCGCCCCCAGCAGCGCGGGCAGCAGCAGCAGCCCTGCGGGAGGACGACGACGACGACGACGACGCCGACGCCGCCGCCGACGACGGCGACGACGGCGACGACGACGACGATGACGACGCGAGGGCGCGGCCCTGGAGACGAAGGCAGAAGCGAGACAGAATCGGACCGATGTAGATCGGAACTCTCTGAGGATCGGGGGCTTGGGGGAGGCGGAGAGCCCAGAATGTCCGTCGAGCGTGCGAGAAAACAACGTCGCGCGCTCCATCGTATGTTTCGTAAACTCGGCGAGAAAATCAAGTCTGGGGTAAACCAAATCTGTAGTCGATCTCCTACTCAACAAATGGGGCCCCACAATGGGCAGGAGAGCCCAGAATCGAATCGACGAGTCGGATCGGCGATCGAAATTGATCGGATCGGCGGAAATCGGCAGCCCCGCCGGGAGAAGTCGGATCGGAGGAAATCGGCAGGCCGTAAGGCCTCCGTTGGGAAATCAGAAGCCAAATCGGAATCCGAAGTCGAATCGCATCGGAATCGGAGGCCATCGAACTCGAATCGAATCCGAGGAATCGGAAGGAGCCCTGGGGAGGTATCGGGCGCCGCGCGCCGTTCCAATGCGCTCTGGAACGCTCTGGAACAAGTCCAGGCCCGTCCGCCCCAGCGAGGTGCTGCTTTCCGAACCTCCAGCGTATCAACAACAATCAAGACGATGGTTCTGTCGCTTTCGGCGTCTGGGGCTCCCCGGCTACGGCTACGGCCGCGGCCCGGCAGGGGGAGGCTCGGAGGTGGCTGTACCCATGTCCTTGCCACACTGCTGCCGAAAGTCCAACCTCACCTACCGACGAAAGTCTGGCGGGGAGCGGGAACGATCCCACGGCGCTGTGGCAGCCTCTCCCGCCCCCTCCGGCTCGCCGGAGGTTTCGCGGGCTACCCTCCAGGGTGGAAGGGCGCCAACGGCACGTGGTTGACGCGGCTAACGAGGCTCTGGCGGGCGTGGCTCTGGGCTGGAGAAGTACCTCGCACGAGGGACTGTCTGCTGACCGGGGCCATATGCTGACGAGGTGCCCGGGGTGTTCCCAGCTTCGGGATTCTCGGTGCTCGTGCTACCACGTAGGCAATGGCGGGGGGGCCAAAGACATGCAGGGAATTCAACCGGCCCGCGGGTCGCAGCCTGACAGGTGGGTGGGCCAGCCGACCTACATGTGGGAGTGCCTTATTCGCCGGCCCAACGGGCCAGAGGCGTGCTAAGATCTCCGGTGACTGCTTTACAATCTTTCTATATTTCTACTTCGCGCGCGCGGGGCGGCCCCTGGGGGTCCCCGGGCGGAAAGTACCCCGGCAAGGTCCTGAGAGAGTCCCGGGAGGAGTCACCAGGGCGCTCCAGCAGCGCACCAACGCGGCTCCGAGACGTCCCCGAGAGCCCCAAGAAGGGCCAAGAGGCTTCCAAGAGGCCTTCAAGATGCTACATGAGGGGTCCGAGATGCCACAAGATCGCTCCAAGACGCCCACGATGGCCCCCAGACGCCCCAAGAGGCCTCCAAGAGCACTCCCGAGAGGGCCCCAAGAGGCAAAATTCATTGCTTTTCCTAAGGTTTTGGATGAATTTTCACGTTTCCACCTTTTCGGCTTCACGACACCCCAAGACGGCCCAAGAAGACCCCAAGACCGCCCCAAGAGGGCCCAAGAGGCCCCCAAGAGGGCCCCAAGACGGCCCAAGAGGGCTCCAAGACGGCCCAAGAGGGCCCCAAGGACGCCCCAAGAGAGGCCCCAGGGGGGGAACACGAAACAATATTTCGAGCCCTCGGCCCTCAGAAGTCCCCAGGAGGCCCCAAGAGGCCCCTAAGAGGCCCCAAAGAGGCCCCCAACAGGCCCTCAGGAGGCCCCCAAGAAGCCCCCAAGCGGCCCCTGCAGGCCACCCAAATGCCCCCCCAGCACGCAAGAAAACACGACGAAGAGGAGAAACAAAAAACTGTTCCTTGCCGCCCGCGTCCGCAACGACAGAGGACATCAGCACTACACGAGAATCAACGTTCCCATTCAACGCCTGCCACCGTCCGACACGACAAAAGAGGCACAACCTGAGTCCCCCGCCCCCTGCAGCTCCGCACTGCCGACGGCCACTCGGCCAGTCAACGGCGGTGCGCGATATGGGCCGGCGGAATGAGCGAAGCGATTAAATAAAGCTCCGGCCTACAGGAATGCCCATGTGCGGACCGTCGCGCTGGTTGCCGTTACAGCTCCTGGCCTGCTCCGAACTGCTACAGAATCCAGAAAGGGGTTCTACGGGATGGGCGCCCCGTAACAGATCCAGCACGCAGTGGGGGTCTCTACTGCGTCAACGAGATCCCTCCCGGAGGGCCGACCCGAGGCCGCGGCGCGGCCCGCACGCGGGTGCTTATTCGGCGTCTGGGGGCCCTCGCCAGGCCCCGGGACCCTAACCAAAACCATCTGGCATGAAGAACCTGCCGCAAGGAAGTGGTCCCCAGAGCTCGGGGAATCCTGCAGTGAAGAAAACAAGACATCGAAGGTCTGGGTTCACCCTCCTCGCTGCCTCTGCACCTCCATTCTCCGTCTCCTCGCTCTTCTCCCACCCGCCCCTCCTTCCTCTCTCGCCGCGTCGAATGAATCCACGGAGGAGGAACTATGAGGAGGTCCGAGGATGGAGGAGGCTGCGTGCGTGCACGAGGGCTAGAGGAGCAGGCATGGAACAACCTAAGAATACCGAAGGCAGAACAACCTAAAGAATACCGAAGCCCTTCCGAACCCAAACTGTTCAACTGTTCCGTGGAACACTTTGGGTTCGGGATTTGGGGGGGAAGGGCGGGGGGACGGGAGGGGGAGGGGGCATAACGTAGCGCCCCCCCCCCCCTTCCCCGGCCAAACTCTGGTGCCGGATGCACTGCGGCAGTGCCGGGGACGCACTGAAGGAGGGAGCGTGTCACGTCCTGGGGCGGGGGGGCAGGGGGGGAGAGGGCAGGGGGAATAACGCGCGTTACGGCCCCTGCCGGCGGGCAGTTGCAGCTGATCAGGAACTGCGTGAAGGTAGCGCATGTGGAGATGATCCATGTTTTTCGGAATCCAACATTGGAAGGAGAGGTTTCGGTGGGCAGATTATTTATACCAAAAACAATAACAACAAAACTTTTGCTTATGGGCTCATGTTTCTCAGGTTCTGGGGGATACTGGTCGTGTCGAGTCCGTGGGTCTTTGCAGACACTTGAGTGGGCAGCTAGAAGGTTGCAGGGCCTGTCTGGGCAAGTGCATCTGTCATGGCCTCCAGGGGGCCCGCGACCTGCCGAATGGTGTGTGACTCAGCTTGCCTGCGTTTCCAGGATCTGCCTAGCCTTGAACAACTCAGCAGTGCGCGCTACGATGCGGGCGCGAAAGCTTGTTCGCAAGCTCAGGCGGCGTCGAAGGCTGGTGTGAAGCAGCGGCTGTTGAAGGCCCTTCCCCAAGGAGCCTGGCGAGTGCACTCTTGGATAAAGCATGAGCAGGGAGCTAATTTTGAATACCTCACCCCCCCACCGGAGTCAAACGATTACCGAAGCAGCTCATGGATTATGCGCCGTGCAGCATCGCCACAGTTTCTGGAGCGACTGTTGGACCGCCCCGCCTGAGCGTCAGGAGGAATTGCGTGGGGGGCCCTGGGTGCTCTGAAACCCCTGGCGCTGGAGGCGGTGCAGAGAATCGATCCCTCCACTCCTGGAGCCATCTCTAGAGCCGCGCGGCTGTTCAAGGCGGATGCGGCTACTCTGGACGCCCGAAATGGGTATTGAAAGAATGGGTGCAATGCCCAACAGCAGTTCCTGTTCAATTGGGGCAGGATTCGCTGTCCACGCCGCCGCGGCCTGTGTCCATTTGAGACAGAGGGCCGCCTGTCCAACAGCGGCCGCTGTTGGTTTGGGACAACATTTGCTGTTAGGCATTGTACCCGTTTTTTCGGTACCCATTTCGGGCGTCCAAAGCCACGGGGGCCGACTGCCGGGCTCTGCCTCCCGGTCTCTCGCCCTGGGGCTGCTGTCGGGGTCTACTCCAAATCCCTCGTGAATCGTCCCCCGGGTCCGGTCTCTTACGGCGCCTCTTTTTCCCCATATCCTAAGATGGGGTTCTTGTTATTACTTGGACGCCTCCTACTCCCTTTCCTTCTTCCTCCTCCTCTTTTCTCCTCCCCTCCTGTCGGACTTACTCATACTCAGACCTGCTCATACTCAGACTTACTCATACACAGACTTACTCATACTCAGACGTACTCATACTCAGACCTACTTATACTCAGACTTACTCACACTCAGACATACTCATACACAGACGTACTCATACACAGACTTACTCATACCCATACGTACTCATACACAGACTCACTCATACCCATACTTACTCATACACAGTACGCTTGGAGAGCAGATTGTGAGGATGTCTCAGGCGGGGCGCTGGTTTCAGCACCCCTAAGGGGAGCCGCCAGGAGTGGTTGCACGGGCTCGTTCGCGGCCATTTTGTAGGGGATGTCTCAGGCGGTTTGCTTGTTTCTGGGCTCAACATCCTTCGCTTGGAGAGCAGATTGTGAGGATGTCTCAGGCGGGGCGCTGGTTTCAGCACCCCTAAGGGGAGCCGCCAGGGGTGGTTGCACGGGTTCGTTCGCGGCCATTTTGTGGGGATGTCTCAGGCGGTTTGCTTGTTTCTGGGCTCAACATCCTTCGCTTGGAGAGCAGATTGTGAGGATGTCTCAGGCGGGGCGCTGGTTTCAGCACCCCTAAGGGGAGCCGCCAGGGGTGGTTGCACGGGCTCGTTCGCGGCCATTTTGTGGGGATGTCTCAGGCGGTTTGCTTGTTTCTGGGCTCAACATCCTTCGCTTGGAGAGCAGATTGTGAGGATGTCTCAGGCGGGGCGCTGGTTTCAGCACCCCTAAGGGGAGCCGCCAGGGGTGGTTGCACGGGCTCGTTCGCGGCCATTTTGTGGGGATGTCTCAGGCGGTTTGCCTGTTTCCGGGCTCAACATCCTTCGCTTGGAGCAGATTGTGAGGATGTCTCAGGCGGGGC